AGCGTTCTCACAGTCGTAAAACCCCCACTGTGCCCATCAGGTCAGGCCATAAAACCTAGTATCAACATACGACTGCATTAACACATTCCTTACGGGAGATTAGAAGCAGGGATGGTCGTAAATGTCAACACACAGAATAAGGTTAAATATCTTAGGAGTAAGGAAAAATGATTCTTTGACACTTAGGAGTAAGACAGAAATATTCCCTTACACTTAGTCAAACTTAAAAAGTAAGTTATCAAGGATATGTTTGAGTTCAACCTGTTTTGACATGTTCAGACCTTTGCCCCTCTCACTATCCCACTTTGTCCCCATAGCTTGTGATGCCTCTATCTCCTGCTCACAGCTAGGTCCTTGAGTCTTACCCTGTTCAAGCTCCCGTTGACCTGCAGCTTATCCAATGCATCCTTTCATGCTCTGCCACATCCTCACCCAATGGCATGATGCTGATGACTGCCAGCTCACCAGAAAAGCTTCTGATGTGACAACTTCTGCTCTACAGCTGCAGCTGGGCTCTTGGTGAGAAAGTGAAATGTGTGTTGAGAGACACTAATGCAACACATTAGTTTGCATGAGCAGGTATGCAGCAGGTGGCATCAAACAGATGTATCATCAATGTAGTGCGATAGAGAGATGGGCTCCGAGGTTTCAGATGTAGGAAAAGATTTAAAAAAATAAAGAAGTCAAATCAAAGGTGTTTTATTCTTATTTTATTACGTTCCCATGAAACTATGCATCTTGCACATGTAACAATACCTAATACTGACTTTGACCTTTGGAAGAAAACCAAACTTTGAAAATGTCTATGAAGTTGTGTCTTGTATAGTCTTCACCGCAGTGCAGATATAATAAATATACTTTGATAACAAAACTTGTTTTCTCAGACGGGATTACAGCACCAGGCAGGCCTGTCTGTATTTGGCTGTTGCCTTTTTGCTTGTGCCCAGGGCTTCATTAAACCCATCTCAAAGAAAAATGTTAAGATCTTGGTTTTCATTGAGTGCACAAAGGCATGTGTGCCAATGCCGAGACAGAATAACAAGTTGCATCATGCATCATGGCACAACGGGGGCATCTCAGTGAATGCTGTAGGAAATGTAAAACAAGTGTTTCTCAGACAGAGACAGACCATCAGGCTCTTCGATTATTTTGCAACGTGAATCACACAGCCCCCCATTTAGAAAGTAATGTCAGTATTGATTAGCTCACCTCGCCCTGAAAAAGGTATTCAACTGGACCTAATCAGCCATGCTCACATATTTATTTATCTGATCTCGATGAGATAAGATAGACAACTTCTATAATGCATAACGGTGAATATAAATGTCACCATTTATTGTTGCCTTTATGTAAGATATTGTGATTGAAAAATAATAGAAATAATCCAGATACCGACTAACTCAACCTTATCTTGGAACAAGTATGCGTGTGTGATTTGCAATCTTTTAATAAATGTTAATGACTGCAGTAAAGCTGTCAGCAAACAAGGAGTGATTCCAATCGAATATACTAACCCCTAACCAAAGTGTAGCAGTTGTAGTTCTGAAGCACAACAATCCCCTTCAAAGTAAAATGTCATGCGTGAGCAAAATATCTTCTATTATTTATCATTGTTAAGTTACTCAACTTTAGGAAAATAAGGAAAACAGTTAAGTGAGTAATGACAAACAAGGGTATACAAATCATAGTTGTGAGTATTTTTTCTTAATTTCTGTAGCAGTGGGAATTTAACATAATTTAAAAAAAAAAATGTTGACATCAATATATTCAATTTTTTTTTCCCCCAAACAGTACAATGGGGGGTTTCAGCAAGACAAATCCATGAAACAGGATTAACAATTAAGAAATGTTACTCTTAACTTCAGGGCTTCTGTCTCTCAGCTTTGAAGTCAAGTTTGTATAAATTCAAGGTTTACCTAATTAATAACCATTAAAACAACAAAAACAATCTACTTCGCCACATTTCACATAACATGCTGACGAATGATAAATAACAATTTTTTCTAAATGAGTGAATATTTGCAAAAAAAGTTTATCAGTTTGAACATGAAATATCTTGTCTTTGTAGTGTATTCAATTGAATATAGTTCGAAAAAGATTAGCAAATCATTGTAACCTATTTTTATTTACACAACATGTAATATTGCAATAGTGTGTTGTATTGCTAACCATTGCGTTCATTTTAAGCTACAACATGCTCTATTAAGGCGTGATGAGATCACAGTGGGGGGGTGGCAGCTACCTGTGGTGTACAGACTGGCAGGATCCAAGGTATCCGGCAGCGGCTTTGCGCCCTGCTGCTGCCCATTCAAAATACAGAACATCAATGTTGCCGGGTGGCAGCCACAGCGGTTCCCACTCGCTGTCTGAAACCCCCTTCAATCCCACCTTCAAACCTCTCATTTTTGAACTGGATACTTCCAACGGCAGAAATGGACGTCAATGAGCACAACACCAGACCACCATGATCCCTGGACAAATCTGAGATGTGGGCAGTGATTTAAAAAAAGGTCTTGGAACAGAGTAACATTTTCTCTGGGGCTGCAATAGATATGATATTATTATTAATTGTTTTATTTCATTAATTAAATGCTTTGAGGCTTTGTGTGAATTGTTATGTAGATAAACCCCTTGCTCTCTACTACCAGTATTTCAGTTCCTGTGACAAGCCAGAGATAAGACTCATTATGATCTATGTTTAGGGAAATTAAGCCTCAGATGAGGTAACTTCTTGAACATGTATGCAACACCATTCTAATTGCTTCTTCAATGGTAAGGATTATATTTAAAGAGTTCATTATTCAATTAAAACAACCTTGTTGCAATTTAAAGCAGGATGTTTTATAGTTGTAAAAAAGGTAGTGGCAAAGGACAAACTAATAATATGAGCATTGTCTATATTTGAAATTGATTAGGTATCCGAATGAATAAAATGCTACCTCACATCCCCAGTAAACCCAATATGACGAATAATTATTTTCCATTTATAATAAAATAACATATACAAGTTTCTCTTGATGGAGAAGGAGAAATTCATTTTTTTTTTAGCAATTTCCAAAAGTTTGACATTTCGCTGTAGGAATGTTTCATGTGTATATCATGAAACATCTTTGATATAACAAGATCCAATCCACCTTGAGCCTTTCACCAATCTACCGTGCCATGTCCAATATAGTAGCGACAACATATTTCAAATGTTATTTAAAAGGAGAAATATAAATAACTATTTGCATCGCCATTTGGTGGTCCAGACTTAGCACTTCATAATGTCTTCAGAGCCGTCTGATAATCTACAGTTCCTATAGACCATTTTTACCGCAACGTCTGCTTCGACACAGCTATCGGGATTTAGCTGGATCCACATAAACCTTAGGCAACATTTCAACCTCTTTTTTGATTAGCTGTATTAGCAATTAAAATAAAACAACCTGCTCATGTTGTTAATGTAAAACAGTATCCATGTAGTTACCACTTAAACTGTTTTTTTTTAAAAAGGACTAACAAGACATTCTGTAATAATTGGCTACATCATGCTTCATTGCTCTTCTTTCCACTGTGCCATGTCCTCCCCTCTAACCTCACCAGTACACTTTGGGACTGCTGAATGGGCACAGTGGTTGGCATGGAGCTGTGAGCTGCTCTTATCATGCTAAGCACAATGACAGAGGGTTGGTACAAGGGAACAGCTTTAATGGTTCTGGATGTGCGCCCCAGGGCTGCAATCACCCTGACCAACCCTTGTATACCCATGTTTAGCCGCGGGGCTTCAAGTGTTTAAGCTTCTATTTTGAGAATGTTCTTGAACAACAAATACAGACTTTTAAATAGCTGTGCACAACACTGTGATGTACCATATAGAAATCACAACAACAACAACAACTGTTTTTAATGCAACAGCATGAGGGTAAACTATAGTGCCCTAGATTGGAAACCTTCAAGAGGTACGCACTGTAGCACATCAACGCTAACATTCATCAGATCCATTTATAATACTGAGTTGACAAAGTGATGTCAAAAGCAATGTTATTTTCAAATTTGTGGATAGATTCAAAAATAGCTTTATGTGAAAAGAACAGTGTGTTCTGCTGGCATGTTTAAAATAAAAGCCACCCACGGATTTACCAGCCATCAATACATCCACGGGTGAGTTTATAACTATCATGTTCAAGAGGGAATCTGACATAGTGTGCAGGTGCCAGAAGCTCTTAGAATCATGTCACAGTTCCCACAGTGTCAGAAGTGTGCTTCTTCCCTCGAAAAAAGTGTAAGAAAATACACAAGAACAGGAAGGCACAAAGGATGAGGTTATCATCTTGGTTTATACATGCATTTACCACCATACTTGTGTCAGAATAACTTTCCTTTCTAACCAGATGTCTGGCACTCCTTGACCTGCATCTGTTCAATTACTAAGAATATTCATAGCCAACACGTGGCTACCAAAATCTATAAAGAGTCATGCATGAAGCCCTGCTGCTTTCCCTGAGGAACACATTTATTCATACCTGAAAAGACATGAAAGATCAACTTACCATACTGGAACAGAGGCAAAGAACATATCTGCTTTCTGCCAGGGGAGAGGATAGGGGCCTACGCAGATTCAGTCTGAAACACAAAAAGGAGAAGAGTTCCGTAAGGACAAGCAACATCAATGACTTGTGATTTTACACAAGGCAGACAAAAGAGAATTTTGGAATGTCAGCATACATGAAGCTTGTGTGTGTCATCCACTAATCGTACTGTATGTCACATTGGATAAGAGCATGCTGAGCAGATGAATGCTTAAAACAGATATGTAAATCCTAGGCTTTATATAACTCCCATAAATGTAACCCTGTATATTAAGGGACAGAGAACATGTACACAGTACAGTATGGTATTGCTATTTTAACAGATAATATCCTGCAAGGCTTCATAAAGGCATTGATAAAACATACAATTATGCTTGAACCACCCTGAACACACTCAGAGATGAACCTAGTTGAATATTCACATAAAGATGTATTTAACATTTTGAGTGGTGATAACCACACCCTAGTTCTATCAAACCCTTTGTGAACTGTTAACCCCCATACTTTTGTGATTTCAGATTAGATTAGATAGAGCTTTATTGTCTCCCTTAGGAGAAATTTGTCTTGGGCATCGAGAAAATAAACATAAAACATTCAGGTCAATCACTCATAGATAGATACAGAACAGAGATCACATATCACATGGCAAAGAAACAAACAAGAAACATACAGGTACAGCACTTTCCCTATTGCACATACATAATCAAATATTGCACTTTTCCCCATTGTATTATACATAAATCAAATATTGCACGTTCCCTACTGTATTCATACACAATCAATATTGCACTTTCCCTATTGCACTTATGCATAGTGTCCGTCAAATTGCACATATCCCTATTGTGTCCATACCTATTTACACATAATGCACTTCCCCTATTTAACCTTCTCGATTGCACAAACTACACTGTAAACATTGCCCTCCCAACAACTCCTAACACAGCATAATCACAATTGTTTCTGACTGTTCAGCAGCTTGATTGACAGCGGAACAAAGGAAAACTTATACCTGTTCAATCTACCGTTTGGTAGGGCAGCAACTCAAACTCTCTATACAGGATGTGTTTGGGATCGCATGTGATTTTACGGCCTTGCTTTCTCACCATCTCCTTAAATATCTCCTGAAGAGAGGATGGTGGAAGCATGCCAATTATTTTTCCAGCCCTTTTTATCAAGCTCTGGAGTTGTGATTTAGATTTAACTGACAAGTTACCAAACCATGTTGTGATGCCATAACGAATAATAGACTCAATTGCTGCCCTGTAGAACATTAACATGATACATCCACTCCATGAACCCTGAGCCTACGCAGAAAATGCAGGCGCTGGCTTATCTTTGAGCATACCTGATCCACCTGATGGGCCCTTTCTGCGTAGGCTCAGGGTTCATGGAGTGGATGTATCATGTTAATGTTCNGAGGAGTCTTGTCTTTTTTTAAAATTGGGACAGCCTTCGTTTGGCGGAAGTGACGTATGCGGTCTCCGAATGCATCCTCAGGAGGATGCGGCCGCTGAATTGGGACACAGCTAAAGTCACAGCCGAAGTAAATGCATGACATGATGAGTTACCCAGAAGAATCAATGGACAGTGACGTATCTCCAACGAGGCGTTATGGGAAGGTATTTTCTGTGTTGGAGTTTTACTCGCTACAGGGTGTACTTTGAGGGTTTTGACTCTGCAGACCGTTTACATGCAGAAAAACCTTCATAACACACAATTGGACGGGTAATAACCAGAAAAGCATGACATGGGACTTTTAAGGTTTTGGGAAGTTGGGATGATGAAAATGACTTTTTCTACTTTTTTCTCTAGTAAGGATAGGGACATTGACTTGAACTTGATGGTATCTAAAACAGTTTGGGGTGGCTGTGGTTCAGGAGGTAGAGTTGTTGTCCACTACAGTCTACATGTAGAAGTGTTCTTGGGCAAGATGCTTAAGATCAAATAGCTCCAGATGAATATGTCATTGTGATGTGAGTACCGGGACCGCAGTCACAGATTTTCATTTTGCTGATGAGTGATTTTTACTTTTCAATTTCTTGTTTCCGTTAGCTGCAGTACTTTGTGCAAGGTCTTTAGTGCACTGTAGCATTATCCATTTGAGCCCCTCTGATCAAATGGGCATCTACTGACTTATTAAAATGTCTTGTCCTTGACAAATGATTTCCATCAGACGTGATATCATTTGGTGATCTTCAATCCGTCTCACTTTACACTGACTGATGATTCCCTCATGAAGTGGAGAGTGAAGTCCACTTCCCTATCTCTGGATTTCTTCCAGAAGTCTTTTCTGAGTTCACACTTTGTTATCCTGTAGGACGGCAGGAGGTTGAGCGACTGAGGTCTAATTGTGCCTGCTGAGTTCCCTGGCCCTGTACATTCAGCGCACTCAGGATTTAAGGCAAAGTGATCAGTTGTTTAAAATCCTGTCATTTGGACAGGACCTTGTCAAACCAAGGCTATCCATTTACTGGGCAGAAACCTTTCTCACTGACATCTTGTGTCTTGGACTTGAATCACAGTCCCTTCTTAAATTAGTTAGTGCTGGTGTTGACATGGCCTTCTGAGTCAATGGTGTATTTCTTTAACATTTCATTGGTCTCCTGCAACTGTCACCTGTTCTCAGTGTTAACAAGGTTTCACACTTTTCCAATTATGGTTGGCTGTAATGCACCAAGAACTGCAGCAGTATGCTAACAAAGGCATGGAGAGAAGACCGCTTCCTATTTAACATGTAAAGACATGACAGGCTTTTAAAATGTATGGGGAAGAAAATACCGTACACACGTTTGTTAGACCCTGGGAATACACTTGTCTTTTTGCCTCAACGTCTTGGGACACCATCCCTTTTTCATTGTTCATTTACAGATAGTTGATTGACACTGACCATTCAACGATTACATTTGGTCATTCACAGAAAAAAAAATAACCCTCTGCATTTCTTTACTGTAGCATTCGGAAAATTCATTATCCAATCAGCAGCATGCAACCTTCTGCAAGGCAGTGAAAAACATCCTTTGCAGTTGCGAGGGATAAAAAAGAAAATGAGGCTAATGTTATGAATCCTGGCACTTTGCAGCTGATATTCTGTCCGAAATGCAGAATAGCCGCTGATGATTAGAAGAAACATGTGCAAAGGGCAAACCAGCCGTCACTTACTGCCACACACATAGAGAATCTTTCTTCTATCTGCACCATGTTTTCGGGGAAATACATAGTTGCACAGAAGTGCTCACGAACAGTACTTCAATATATACCACATCACCAGGAACAACAGCTATAGTGACAGCTTTTGCATCAGTCTAACGCTCTGTTTGCAACTTCAAAATAAGTGCAGGAAAATGATATCTTATTTATATTTTTTAACTGCTGTGTAGCACGCAACCCAGTCATATAAGTACCCAAAATAATGCCTGAAAAGTGCAATTGCATTCTGTAATTATGTCCAATTTCTCTAACTAGATCTAATGAACAGGTGGGAGCCTGAAACATTTATGTTGTTATGTGCGTGAGCCTTCACTATGAAAAGAAACAAAGGTATAATTTTTCCATCATAATTTATTTTTTTATGGGAAATAGAGTTCAGTTCATTGTTCAGAGAAATGTAATGCCCAATCTAAAAGCCATCTAATGCTAATCGAGGCAAACACCTCCTTGGGAAATAGTGTTCAGAACCGACGTAAATCACTGTTATGTTTCCACATAGTGCATCAAACTAGATGGTGAAACTACAGGTACTAAAGAAAAAGTATATATGAGATATATCTGAAATTAAATTATGACTTTAAGGTTAATGCGATGAATGTCTGCTTCATCTTGTGGTTTTGTACATGTGCAGTGAAGATATTTGATACATTGGAATGAGCTTTAGTCCCATAAGGCACAGACAATCATTGGAGTATACAGTAAGGGTGGTTACTAGAAAATACAGACTTCAATCTCCAGAAAGTATTGCAATAAGCTGTCCATCAACATATTTTACCCAAAAAGATTCTCCCACAATATGTATAATATGTTTATCAAAATAGTGGTTATTGTCATACTGAATAAATATGTACTGTGAATGTATGCAAAAAAAAAAAAATGAAGTTAAACAGAAGTTAAATCCGTTTCTCACTTATTCTGATAATGTTCACCTGGTTCAACACATGGTTCAACATCCTGCTGTGCTTTCCTTTGCTTTTTCTGTGATTGTCTTTGTACCGTGCTTTGTGCTGGTTCCTCAAGTGGCAAAGCATTACATGACTGTGAGCCTCTCTGCTCACACAGGGTTCAAATAGGGACGGAAAGAGCAGGTTGGTTGAACACAGGCGTTTATTAACTCCAAACAAAAATATACGCGGGTCTCAAACGTTGCCCGGGTGGGAACCTTCAAAGGTCCTTTGGCGACCTTCCAGGATCCCGCCTACTGCGAAACAGACCAGAACCAGGTTACGACATGCTTTTATTCCGGCACTGATTACCTGATTCCGATCAGCTGTCTGGCCTCCAGCCGAGCCACTCCCTTCACTCCAGCAGCCGGCGCCCTAACCACACCCCGCTGCCACAGTACTTAACCCCAAATAAAAGAACTCAATAAAAAGAGTTGTTAAATAATAGTAAAGTCACGTTGTAATAACAATAACTCATCTCTCTCTCTCGTTTTATTTTTGAACTTTGCTAAAAGCCACTGTGTCAAGTGTCCATCTTGGGTTGCCGTCCGGAGTTCTCCAATATGGCGGACCATCTCGCACATGCGCAGTACCAATCGGGCAGGGGGACAGATCGGGTAGTGACCGACAAACAGTTCATATTCAAAGAAAGTACATCTTTGCAGTGCATTTAGTCAGAATGAATTAAATTGAGTATAATCAAAACACTTTTAGTTAATTATTAAGATCTGTTGTGAAGTGTCAACTGTTGCACACTTGTGTTATTAGTATAACACAAAGATGATGAATATGATGCATTTTTTGGGATATTATAGTGTCTGTTTCATTTTATATAAAGTCAAACAAATCCCATTAACATGATAGATCTTCACAAAAGCAAATG